TTGTTGATTAACACTAATCTATGATCTGTAAGTAGTCATGTTCAGTGTGACCCTCTATGTATTCTTGAAATTCAAACTTGTGCTTTGTACATTATCCTGACATTCTGTGATGGCTACTGCTAAAGTTTGAAATGAGAATGTATGATGGGAGGGGGGACTTTAATATGTGGAGTCTGAAAATGAGGGCTATCTTGATGCAAATGAAATGTGCTAAAGCCTTAGATAATTCGTGGCTTGCTGAAATGTCTGCTGGTAAAAGAACTCAGTTAGAAGAAATAGCATGGAGTACAATTTTTTTGTACCTTTCAGACAATGTGATCAAGACTATAGGTGAAACAAAAATTGTTGAAGAGTTGTGGACTAAATTGAAAGTCCAATATGAGCCAAAAACTACTCTAAACAAATTTTTTTGCTAAAACAATTCTTTTCTTTCAAAATGGACCCTTAGTTGATTTAGATGAGAACCTGGACAGATTCACTAAACTGACCCAGGACCTTGCCAACTGTGATGAGAAATTATCAGAAGATCAGCTGGCAATGGTCTTGTTAAACTCCATTAGTAATAGGCATAGAGACCTAAAAAATGCCTTGTAATATGGAAGAGATAGTCTTACCACATATATCATTATAAATGCCTTTAGAAATAGGTTTCTTGAATTAAAATCAAATTCTATCAACCATCAAAGTGGAGAAAATCTTTTGTTAAAAGGAAAAAATGTTGGTAAATCTAATTTTCATTCAAAGTTTTCAAATGAACCTAAGAAAAAAATAATGACAAAATGAAATCCAAAACCAAGGCTAAGGGAAAGAAATGTTATTATTGTGGTAAGTTGGGTCACTTTACTAAAGATTGTTACAAAAAGCAAAATGATTTGAAAGGAAAGAAGTCAAATGAAGGTAATGTTGTTATGTCCTATGATAAGCAGAATTGTGATAATGGCCTGGTTTTTGTAAATGTTGAAAGGAACCTAAATCAAGAATGGATTCTTGATTCAGGTTGCTCTTTCCACATGTTTCCAAATAAAAACTATTTCTTGGATTTTGAACAAACTAAGGAAGGCCAAGTTATCATGGGTAACAACATGAACTGCAAAGTGAAATGTATTGGAACAATAAAATTACTTTTGGAAAATGGCAAAATTCTGTTACTGAAACGTGCCAGATTTGTTCCAGAATTAGAAAGAAACCTAGTGTCTCTAGGAATATTGGATGATATGGAGTTTAACATAAAATTGGGTCAAGGACACATAAAAATCCTTAGGGGTAGTGATTTGATCACTTCTATCCCAAAGAGACATGGTTTATATTTTCTAAATGCAAAACCTTTGTTGGGTCTTTCGACAGTAGTTTTAGATGACAATTTTAATCTTGCAAAATTATGGCATTACAGGCTTGGTCACATTGGTGAAAAAGGTTTAAAGGCTTTGCAAAATAAAGGTGTTTTTGGAAAATCAAATATTGGTGATTTGTTTAAGTGTGAACAATATTTGATTGGAAAGCAAGTTAAGTTACCTTTTTCCACTAGTACTCATAAATCAAAGCAAATTCTAGAATACTTACATACTGATTTATGGGGCCCTGCATCCACCTCTACATTGTCTGGTTAGAAGTATTACTTGCTTGTTATTGATGATTTTTCTAGAAAAATTTGGGTATTTCTTTTGAAAACTAAAGATGAAACTTTTGCCACATTTAAAGATTGGAAAACCCAAATTGAAAATCAAATTGATTTGTAAATCAAAACCTTGAGAACAGACAATGGTCTAGAATTTTGCAATTATGTGTTTAATGAGTTTTGCAAGCTGCATGGCATTTTAAGACATAGAACTGTGACCTATACATCCCAGCAAAATGACATTGCAGAAAGAATGAATAGGACTTTATTGAATAAAGTTAGATGCATGCTTTAGAGTTCTGGCTTACCCAAATTATTTTGGGGTGAAACTGTTAAAACTGCTGCATGTTTGATTAATAGAAGTCCTATAAGTTTTTTAAATTTTGATGTACCTGAATCTGTCTGGATACAAAAGCTTGTGATCTATTCTTACTTGAAAACATTTGGTTGTGCTGCATATGCTCATCAAAACATAGGAAAACTTGAACCTAAATCTCTTAAATGTGTGTTTTTGGGTTATGCGAAAAATGTTAAAGGATATAGGCTGTGGGTTTATGAGAAAAAAGGTTACAGAGTTATTGTAAGGAGAGATATGATATTTAATGAGTCTTGTATGCCATGTTTAGAGGGAAAGAAAGACAATTTAACTGATAATTATGCCCAAATTGAGGTGGAGCCTGCCATGCTTGATAATACTGACTCTATCCCCTTAGAAATTGAAAATACTGATGTAGACTTGAATGGTACTGATGTTGAACTAGCAGAACCTGAACACAATGATGACCCTGTATTACCACCTGATGAATACTAGCTAAATAGAGATAGGGAAAGAAGACAAATTAGACCTCCTGCTAGGTATAACACCGATGAATTTGTCTCATTGTTCTCCTATCAGGATGAGATTGAATCCGAACATTGTTCATATAATGATGCCATAAAATCTAAGGATTCAAAAATTTGGTTAGCTGCTATGGAAGAGGAGATGACCTCATTACATAAAAATAAAACATGGAAATTGGTTGACAAACCTAAGGATTAAAAATTGATAGATTGCAAAATAAAAGAAGGGAAAGGGGGCAACAATAATATTATATATAAAGCTAGACTTGTTGCAAAAGGGTTTACCCAGAGAGAAGGGATTGACCGTGATGAGATTTTTCCCCTGTAGTTAAGTATACCACTATAAGATGCATTCTGGCTTTGGTTGCTCAATTTGAATGGGATTTTGATCAATTAGATGTAAAAACTGCTTTTCTATATGGAGAATTGGATGAATTGATCTATACGAGACAGTCAATAGGTTTTGAAAAAGGTGATCCTGATAAGACTGTTTGTCTATTGAAAAAATTATTGTATGGGTTGAAACAAGCCCCTAAACAATGGTACAAACGCTTTGATTACTTTGTATTAAAACTTGGTTTTAATCAAAGCAATTATGATACATGTTTATATTGTAAAGGGTGTGGTGGTAAGAATTCTCTTTATTTGGTTCTTTATATTGATGATATACTATTGCTAGTGCTTGTAAAATTGAAATTAATGATATTAAGCAAAAGCTAAAATAAGAATTTGACATGAAAGATCTTGGCTCTGCCAAGAAGATACTTGGTATGTAAATTGTTAGAAATAAAGAAAATGGATTGTTGTTTTTAAACCAACAGGATTATGTGAATAAAATCTTGAAAAAGTTCAATATGTTTGAGTGTAAACCTGTAACCTTGCCCCTTGCAAATCACTTTATACTGACCTAAGATGCATATCCTAAAACTGAAGAAGAATATGGTAGAATGATTAGAATCCCTTATGCTAATGTTATAGGATCAATAATGTATCTAATGATATGTACCAGACCTGATTTGGCATATAGTATTAGTGTTTTAAGCTGATTTATGGCCAATCCTGGTGAAAGTCACTGGAAAGCATTATAATGGTTGATGAAATACTTAAAAAGGTTCATCTAATATAGGTCTTGTATTTAAGATAAACAAAGAGGGGATAACATTAAAAGGCTATACCGACTCAGACTTTGCTGGAGATAAAGATAATAGAAGATCCACCTCATCTTATTACTTTACTTTCTGTGGTACTGTTGTGAGTTGGAAATCACAGTTACAAAATGTTGTTGCTTTATCTTTCATTGAGGCAGAATATATTACTGCCACAGATGCCGTTAAAGAAGGTATTTGGTTAAATGGTCTACTAAATGAACTTGGCTTTGTGGACACTAATCCAACCTTATTTTCTAACAATCAAAGTGCTATTCATTTGGGTAAGTATCCCATGTTTCATGATAGAACCAAGCATATTGATATGAAATATCATTTCATAAGCGATGTAATATCAAAAAGATTATTAAAGATTGGAAAAATTGCTACATTACATAATTATCTGACATGGGAACAAAAGTGATACCTTTAAACAAATTTCAAAATTGTTTAAAGATCTTATCAATTGATTCTCTTTATTGATTATACAGGTACTCTGAGTAAATGAAATTATAAACTGCTGGTAAAGTTCCTAGCTGCACTATTGCCAAGAATTTGGAAGGTGGAGATTGTTGAGATTCGAACCTTGTTCTCATCACTTATAAAAGTATGCTTCCAAATATTGTGAAGAAGTCGTGTTTCTAATTAACACTTTTGAAAATAAAATGGATTCAGCGGATTGAAACACGTAGCTGTGTGATGACCATTGGATGAGCTTCCAGATTCTTCTATCTTTAAGTATTCCAAACGTGCCTTTTTTAGCTGATTGGGAAGACTTTTGGGTCGACTATTCATCTCTCTATTCTCTCTCGTCTCTCTGTGTGAAAACCCATCATTCTTGTTATTAAGGTTAAATTCTTTAAGTGTTCCAGTGATAAAATTGTAGTAAAGAACTTGTAATACAGTAGATCTATCCATTGCTGAGTTGTGTGGCGTATTTGGTTCCAAGAACCTTAGTGGTTCATGAAAGGCAGTAGGGTTTTCTGCAGATCTAAGTGATCTCGCGTGTGTTCTTATTGAAGAGTGATCTATTTTGTGGTTCTCTTGCAAAGATAAGTCTTCGTGACTTTGGTGTTGTAAATTTCTGGCACTATTATATATTCTTGTTGCCGTTTTTGGCTTATAGTGCAACCGAGCTTTATCCATTTATAATGGTTGCTCAACAGGGGATTAGGCGTTAGAAAGTGATCGCGGAACCTCTGGGGCTACGGCTGAATGATCCTTGTGTTGATTCTTTTATTTTTGCATTTTATTTCTGTTTTCGAATGTTTGATCATAGAACTTGGTTAATCTTGAAGTTTTCTCGTTCTTTCAACATAGCTATTCAAATTGCCGAAAATCCAGTTTGTCATGAATGAAAAATGCACATTGAAATCGAAAATCACTTTATTCAGGAAAATAAAAGTGCAGGTTATAGGCCACTTAAATATATCACAGTCAAAAATGGAAAATGACAAATCCAACAGAAGAATACAGAAGAGAAAATGGAAAACAGCGATCTCTTGTCACCAGCACTTCGACTCATGTTGAAAACGAATACTTGTTCACAGAGTGCCTTTGAAATCATAAAAATTATTTTCATAATTCGATCTCAATAGTATGAACTTTCTGGTCCTCAGGAGGCATATTGAGCAAGTTCATTGTTACCAAACCAGAGGCTAATTCATATGCAAAGTCCACCTCAGATAATTCGACTCTGCACTTTCTAGGCTTAGCCGATGAGTATGCTCCAAAGCGCCCACAGCCCTTTACCTTCATGGAGACTAACGCAACCACTTCTATGCTCAAATTCTGTAGTCTCTCTTCAGCATTACCTTCATATCCCTTTCCTATAACTTCATATTTAAGCCCTTCAATTGCTCCACCCGAGTTGAACATGTCAATGAGACCCAAAGGTGCAAAACTGAACCTGGATGCCAGTATTTTAACTGGTGTAATGGTAAAAATCTCGTGCTCAAGGACCTTGAGTGACACGAGCATAGAAACATTGTGAGACAAAGTGACAAGATCTCCACCCCGGTGAGAGTACACAATGCAGTCGCCATTCCAGCTGGAGTCCAACGCAACTTCAGAAATGAGATGGACATCATCTCCCCTGAAATAGCCTGTTATTGCTTCAGATTTAGTTTGGTGGAATGTTTTCTTTTTCTCAACAATATTCCATGCTGCACCTTGGCAGTTGTATACACCAAGTACTCCAGTATACTTGTTCATGTTCCATATCTTCAATAAACTGAAATTAAGACACATATTTAGTCGTTGAATCCTCGTCTAATCAGATAATGTTTCTTGGATGTTGAATTTGGCATGCTTACCTAACACCGTCTCGTGTAGGATCAGAAAATAGACAATCCTTGGTAGGCCGACCAGGAAGTTGTGCTCGAAGAATTGATCCATCGGTAAGAACAAGCTTCTTGAGAAGATCAAAATTGTGCTTCCCTGGTGCATCACTGTTATTAAAGGATTCACCTTAGATAATTGTCAAATCAGACGTGCAAACTTTTGATCCAGTAAGCTTCCAGGTTAGGATTTGTTACCTAACATAGACAGGTCCACCACTGATAGCCCTTGCTGATCCATGGTACTCGGCTGCCGGATGGAGAGAATGGAACATGTCCCAATCTGGGAGCATGAATTCTCCAAGGAAGATGCTATTGTATGCAACTGAAGCAATATGGATCGTGTGTGATATTGGTTTGAGTGGGGAGAAACCTTCCGATGCTCTCACTAAAGCAGTTTGTTTTGAGCTGTTTTACGAAGTTAATCATCAGAATGAAAACTAAAAAAGTTTACTTATTTCTATATCTAATATTTTAAGGAAAAGGAAGAGAAACATTTATACCAGTAAAATGAATCAATGTTGTGGCTCCTGCAGGCAATGCATTCATTATCTGGAAAATTCTTAGCAACAGAAGCATCAATTGCTTGCTGATATTGGCTGGTTAACTGGACACGACCCCCCAAACCAGTCCCAAGGGTCTCTAATAAGCATTGGCCATCAACTTTCACCCCATCTATTCCAGCAGAGGCTAAATGACTGTGCAAATCATTGTAAAACTTGTATGCATTCTTGGGATTCACTAAACCCAACCCCTCTACTACAATTGCTTCATTTCTCCACCTTGGTTCATTCTCTACCACTCCCTTGGACAAGTTTAGATACTGAATGAAACATCCATATTCCTCCATTTCCTTCACACCGGGCCGAACCCCAGCCCAATAACCTGTAATAGCGTGCCAAATGTACACATACTTCAAACCATACTTTTCTTTCGCAATGTTGACGATATTCTTCATTCCAGCAGTGGGATCAACTTCGTTCTGAAATTTTTCATTTTCTTGAATCCCAGTAAGCCTCAACATTGGAAGAATAAGTTGTTTATGTTGTTGTGTTTTATCATCATCAAATCCAACTGTTTGCCAACCATCATCGATGATGACAAACTTGAGAGGAGCTCCACCAGCTGAGAGACTTTTGAGGCCGGCCTCGACCCCTTCCTGAGTCACTTCGTGGTAGAAAGCATCCCACGTGCACCACCCAAAATAATCCACAATCCCGGGCAATTTTTTCTCGTGCCTTAGCCTGAATGTCCCAAGATGCAACTTCACAGCCCTCATAGCCTCGTGTATGGTCTCAAATGGATCAGTACCGGCACTAATATACACCGAATGGCCAAACACCGATCCAACAGTCTTCATATCCCCACTCTCTAAACACAACTCCACCTCATCCTTGTCATTCCCCTGAAGACTAGCTTTAAATGGCCCTTCAACTAAAGGCAGGATAACAGTATAAATAATTTCATTATTATCTGAGGATCCATTCTTTGATTCTAACAGCAAGAACTGTGTTTCCATGGGAATATCACGGCCCTTGTCGCTCATTTTCTGAGTCATCCACCATAAGTTGAATCTGAAGCATGCCAAGAAGTGAACATCACGTAATGTTCCTAGTGGCACGACTTGTCGACTGTCATCTTGATCAAATACTGCACCCAAAAACAACCCCTCGACCATACCAGCCGCTGAACTAGACGTTGCTACCACATTCTCGGACACATTTGTTAATATTGTCCGGTCCTTCACCAACAGTTTCCTATCAGCTATTCCTATAGCTATCTTGACATTCATGCCTTCTTTGACAAAAACTCCGATTTGATTGATTGATATAGGAGGAAAGAATGTGAATGCTGGAAAACTAGGTTCAAATGGTTTGAGAAATAGTCAATTTGGATTTGAGTGTTAAATTATCCCATGAATGATGATGGACCAGTTATTAGGAAACCCATCATCAATCATTGTGAAAATATTAGCAGTGTGATGATTGTGTTGGATCCATGTGTAACCATCTCATTTAATACCAACAAGTCAAAACTCAATATTTTTTGTGAAACCCCTATAACTTCAAGCCAAATTTACGTGGAGTGTGATACCGTAGATACGATTTCGTATTGTTATTGACAGTTGGGTTTTTGACATAATCAAGGTACACCATCTTTTCTACAATTGGACGTCCATAGCTGAGCTGTTTTTGTCCACCTGATAGAAGATAATATTTAAATGAGATTAGGTAGTGACAATAGACGAAGCACACCATCAACACTCAACTTGTGTTCAAATCCTAGACTGAGCTTGGCCCGATCCTTTGGAAGAGTCTAAACGTCCACCTAGGCATAAAAAAGCATAAAGCTTGGTTATTCAACAAGGTGCTTTTGAGAACACTAGTTTTTATAACCACAACTGCTTTTTAATTTTAATGGACTCGACTTCCTTTGAGCTATGATAAATTAATAGGGTTCAATTCTTTAATTTACAAAAAGCCAACCTCTTTTTCTTTCTCCAACGGACGGCCCCAAACTCCTCGTCTATCAACAACCTTGTAATCCTGGCCGAGTTATCCTTCAGTGTACGGGCTTCCCTATATCTAACTTCTTATAAAAGGGGAACGAAGGACTATTGTTGACGCAACAGTAAATTAATCTAATTTTTACTGTGCATGATGTCATTTTTTTATTTTCCATTTTGTTTATAGTCAGACAAATGTTCTTCCACACATCATGTCATTAGTATTAAAAAAATAATAATAATTTTAATATATATAAACTGTCATGAGTATATAAAAAAAAAAAAAAAACTTCGCACCAATGCGGAGAGTTGATAAACTCTTCGTATAGTGCAAAGTATTTAAAAAAAAAAAAAAGCTCTCTGCATAATGCGGAGAGGAAAAAAACTCCACACAATACGGAGAGATGACAAACCATATGAGTAGATTTGGTAAATTCTTCGTATAGTGCAAATTATATAAAAAAAAAAAAAAACTCTCCGTACCATGGCAAAACTCTCCATGCAGTGCGGAAAGAGTTGAATCATGTGCAGAGAGTTGGCAAACTCTTCACATAGTGCAGAGTAAAAAAAAAAAAAAAAAAAAAAAAAACTCTCCGCACAGTGCGGAGAGAAAAAAAATGTGAAGAGATTTTTTTTTAATTAGTAATTTTTTTTTCTTTTTTGTCCTTCTCTGCTTTCCCTACTTTTCTCCATTTCTTTATGCAATATCTATTTTTCCTTACTTCTTTACGCCATTCATCTTTCTTCTCTCCTACAATCCCATTTCTTTTTCTTTCAAACTCCTCTCTCTCAACAAAATTGTAAAATTTTTGTTCAATTTATATTTTATCTCTCGAACACCTTAATATTTTTATTTTTCAAGTCAAACTTTAATATTGTGCTGAAACTCATCGAGAAATCAAGTCGATCATCCTTTTAGATACTTTGATGAAACTTATTTACTTGTTCAAACTCTAAGTACTAACCTTTGTTCTACGGTCTTGTTACAATTTCTCGTGAATTCTACTAGCAAGTTATCAAAATAATGTATTTTAAGCTCATTCATATCTTGCTTCTGGTCAGATTAAACATTTCTTGGATTTGTAAGATTGCTTGATTTTACAATGTACCTAAATTTATAAAATATCATACTCTAAAAATGGAGAAAATAAGCAAAAGAGGAAAACATTAAAAAAGAAAGAGAAGAAAAAGAAACAAAACTATAACTCAAGATGATTGGAAAGATAAATTTTTTTCTAAAAAGCATAATCTTTACTATGTAAAATTATTTCATACTTATAATTTGCTCAAAATTGAGTAGGAAGTTTTCGAAAGTGATTTACAAAAATTTGTCTAATAGATCCCCTTCTTATGACAAGCATAAATACAAGACCGTGTTCCATATGTCATACAATAACAAAACATATTTTTCTTAATATTCCAACAATATATTTCCCAATTCTCTGCACAAACACAAAAATGCAAGTCTTACCTTCGGAGCAAATGGTAACATTTTTCTTAAAAGTTTATTACTTTGTGTTTTTACCTTATATGGCTTATGATAATGTCTGATTGTTAATATAGGCACTTTTTACTGCTAACTAGTTAATGTTAATCCTTATTACTTATTAAATAATCTTGTGTTACATAAAAAATAATCATAAATTCGACCATACTACTAGCACTAATGATTTTACTTCTGACCTGACTTTCCTTTCTGACTGAACTGATTGGAAAATCTTCCTGCCCCGACAAAGTAATTCCGCTTCACTGTTCAGCCAACTGAGATTCTTTCAAGAGAGAGCAATATATAATAAGTCTTTAAACGAGAAAATAATATATATAGGATACAAAAACTCTCGTCAAGCTCTAAATCTAATTTCATTGTAATCTCATAGATGTAACAATTCTCCACCAAAATTCTAATTTATTCACATAAATTCTCAATATGAAAGATAATATGCATTTGTAAGTTAATTATTTTGGTCGATAGATAATAGGGCATTGTAAAAATGTTGGCCCAAAAAAAAGTTTTAATCCATCCCAAGTGGAAGCTTTTCTCTACTTGTGGAGAGATCAACTCCCTCCGCACAATGCGGAGAGATGGTCATTTTTCTATAGGTAATTTTTTCTTTTTTTTCTTCTCTGCTTTCCCTATTTTTCTCAAATGTATATTCCTCTCGATGGTTTTTGACCATGGATTCTTGACAAAGGTATCTAAATTTTTCATCTTTTACCTCAAACCTTAAAATATTGTTTCTAATATGATTTCTATCTATTTTTCGCTTGTATAAAATACAGATCATAATGAACGTCTTTACTATTTTCCTTATTTAATCTACTTTATTTAGTGAGCACTGCTTTTCATTTGTTAGGATGACTTTAAAATGGGAAAGTCACTTGGAAAAAAATTAGCAATTTTATAACCATCCTTCTTTTTTCTTTTTCTTTTTCTTTTTTTTTTTAAATTTTTGGAAATACAATTATATAAAAAGAAAACGATATTGAATTACAACATTTTAAGAAATTCAATATTAAATAAATTTTTATACATTTATAACAAATTACAAATTCATATATGCAGCTTACCGTATATGCTGTCTACCGTATTTGCAGCTTACCGTATATACCGCCTACCGTATTTGCACCTTAGAGTTTATATGCTGCCTAACGAATTTTCATATACCGATTTTTGCACTTATAAATATTGAGAATGCAGAACACCGTACATTCACTCATCAAATCGAATGTCAAAAAAAATTCCAGATTTTTATTTTTCCAATATAAGCAGAAAATAAATATTAAAATATATGAAGCACAAAATATAAACGCATATGATTATGCAAGTCGATTTATAACTTTGTACTCAATCTTCAATTTTTCATTTTTGAATTATACAAAATTTAGAAATATAATCTTCACATTTAAACGAGAAAATAATGTATACAGGATACAAAAATTCTCGTCAAACTCTAAATCTAATTTCATTGCAATCTTATATATATAACAATTCTCCACCAAAATTCTAATTTATTCATATAAATTCTCAATGTGAAAGATAACATGCATTTGTAGGTTAATTATTTTAGTCGATAGACAGTAGGGCATGGTAAAAAGGTTGTCCCCAAAAAAAGTTTTAGTCCACCCAAAGTGGAAACATTATCTCTATTTGCGGAGAAATCAACTTTCTCCGCACTGTGCGAAAAGATGGTAATTTTTTTATCGATAATTTTTTCTCCTTTTTTCCCTCTCCGCTTTCTCTATTTTTTTCAGATGTATATTCCTCTCGAAAATGGTTTTTTACCATGGATTCTTGACAAAATATCTAAATTAGTTTTTTATCTTTTACCTCAAACCTTAAAAAATTGTTTCTAATATGATTTCTATCTATTTTTCAATTGTATAAAATACAGATCATAATGAATGTGTTTACTATTTTCCTCATTAAATATACTTTATTTAGTCAGCAATGCTTTTCATTTGTTAGGATGGCTTTAAAATAGGAAAGTCACTGGGAAAAAATTTAGCAATTACATAACCATCCCTTTTTTTTTATTAATTCCCGAAAAAACAATTATATAAAAAGAAGACAATATTGAATCAAAACATTTAGTTCTGAAGAATTAAGAAATTCAATATTCTAAATTTTATACATTTATAACAAATTATAAATCCGTATATGCAGCTCGTCGTATTTGCAGGCAACTTACCGTAGATGTAGCTTACCGTATTTGCAGCTTACCGTATATGCTGCTTACTCTATTTGCAGGCAACTTACCATATTTGCACGTTACCACATTTGTAGTTTACCGTATATACTGCCTACCGTATTTGCAGCTTACCGTATTTTTATATGCCGATTTTGCACTTATAAATACCAAGAATGCAGAACACCGTACATTCACTTACCAAAACGAATGTCCAAAAAAATTTTCAGATTTTTATTTTTTCAACATAAGCAGAAAATAAATATTAAAATATATGAAGCACAAAATATAAACGCATATAAATATACAAGTCGATTTATAACTTTGTGGTCAATCTTCAATTTTTCAATATTGAATTACACAAAATTTAAAAATATAATCTCCACACTCAGCTCAATCATATCAACATTGTTAAAGCATACATGCAAAATAGTTTTTATAATCTCGTATATTTCATATTCAAGCATATTTTTTCTAGATGACACAATACTGTTATGCAATTGTAAAAATAATTTGAAATTATTTTCTTATATCATGTAAATATTTTTAGATATTGCTTCAAAAACATTCCAAGAAACTAAAATTCATACGTTAATAAAAATACGATAAATATAAAATTCGTGCAACGCACGTAACAGTGATTAGTTTCATGACAAGCATCACAAGTCTTGTGAAATTCTTAGAAATATATATAAAGCGTGGGCCACCATACCATAAGCCAATCAATCCCATTTTCAATATCTGTAATAAGAATAAAACCCCCTGTCCCGGTTTGGGGACAAAGTTGATGTGGCGCCCCTGTCCTCAAGTCGGGACAGGGAGCAAGGCTGTTTTAATAAATCGGACATATTCTCACCGGTGGCAGGGATAGACAATCAAGCTAGACCCGGCCGGACCAACCCGTGAACTGGCCTGAGCCGGCACGTTTGGACACCACTAGATAAACTACAAAACTTCAACATAGTACTTTTTGCTTTAAGCTTAGTCAAACATGCTGTCTTGTTAAGGGGCTTTTAACTCACGTATATAAATCAAATTTTGTGCAGTCTATTCGTGATTGACTTCAATGCCCTTTATATATAAACTGTGGTTCACATTAGAAGGAAATCTCGTGATCTTATCTTGTGCATCCTCTAATGTCACAGCCTCCAATTCTTTGCCCCCGAAAAATAACGGCAAAAAGGAAAAAAAAAATGGCAGCAGTTTTCCTCTCAAATGCTAACACCTTCCTCCCTTCTATTCGATCTACCTCTTCATCTTCTTCTGAACATGTAACAATACTCTCTAATAGGAAACTGGTTATATGCAAGGCAGTAAATGAGGCCTCTCTTTCTTCTCAAATTCTCTCCAAGAGAAGCCTTTGCATTAGTGTAAGTTCAATATGTGCGCTCGCCTTAACTGGTAAAGGCTATTTTGACGCCAATGCTGCTATTCTCGAGGCGGATGATGATGAAGAACTGTTGGAGAAAGTGAAGAGGGATAGGAAAAAGAGGATTGAAAGACAAGGAGTCATTAAGTCATCCACCAAGGAGACAGGTTAATTTCTTCCTTCACAGTGTCTGATCAATGGGTTTTGTTTTAGGAAAATGCTAAACGACCCGCGCCGTTGACATTCCGGGTGACCGCTCCCTCACATGGCCACGTGGGTCCTCCATGAATAAAATAATCCCGACCTCCCATGTCATGTCTGTGTATTATGTCAAACATGCAGCCACCCGTGCGGGCTATGTAGCTCGGTCCTTTGTTTTATGGGCATATAGGATTGATTTTTTTATTTTTTATTTATTTTATATATATATATATATATATATATTTTATTTTATTTTATTTTATTTTATTTTTTTTGAGTAATCTCCAGTCCATTTGTTGCCGTAGATAATTTTCCGATCGATCTTGATCTAAAATTTGAAATTCAGAATCCTGTCATTGACTAGAATTGAAATATGGCAGAGAAAATCTATGACAGAATTGCTTATTTCAGAATCCACTCAATCCAGTTACTGTAACCAGATTGCACTACCTTGACCGGGGAAAGAACAACCCAATTTGTAATTTTCTGCAATGGTCTTTTCGCATCTTTATTTGCTAGGATTCATAGAGGGAGAATAAAAGTGGAACTTGATGTAAAAGAAAGGAACAAACTTCTGCATCCGAATACAATCTTATTACCTTATACATTAACAGAACGGAAATTATGTCTGATACATGATGTCGAGGCAGAAATCCCATGATACAAAGTTTTAGCTTATAGTACTTCAATTGTTATTTGAGAATGATTTTGTAATGTTGCAGCATACCTGCAAGATCTTGTGTATAAACTGAGCAAAGTTGGTCAAGCCATTGAAAACAAAGATCTTTCTGCCGCAAGTTCAGTTCTTGGTCCAATTACTGATACAGAATGGGTTTCAAAAATCAAATCAGCATTTAAAAAGGTCATTTCTTGAATACTTCCATGCTTACTCTGCGTTAGTTTATGCATATGTTAAATTGTTAAAATGAATTTGTGGGTTATGTTTCTTACGCCATCTCGTTACAGTTGAGCTCTAGCCCTGAAGAGAAAACTGAGGTTGACGTCTTCAACTCATCACTCTCGTCTTTGATTTCATCAGGTGATCCATACTAACGAGTTACGATACCCCATAATGTAGTTTGATGTTTAATGCATGCGCATTAAGGTATCGTCTAATCTAATGAATGCAGTTTCTGGAAATGACATTGAAGCATCGGAAAAAGCTTTTGTGGCATCAGCAAGTGCACTTGAGAAGTGGACAATATTGACAGGGTTGGTTGAACAGCTTAGAGGCCTTTGAATTACAAATTAAAAAGCAGTGCTTATACGAAATAGATATTTCGTTATCCTCCAATGTTAGAGGACTCTTCTTTGACTAATTTTTCCGGGACCAACTGATAATTATTCTTTGCCTGAAGGAGCTGTTTACATGTTGCTCAATGTACTTGGCTCAAATTGTAATTGAATTTCCTTGAAATAATAAAAAATTTTGATGGATCCTTCTTGGAACTCTATACTTGTATAATACACTATACATAACTAGCAAAGGCAAGGAATCTGATTAACTCATGGACTTGCATAACCAAAATGTAAGTTTTTACATAATCGGAAAGGAACTGAGTCTGAAAGCTGCGTGTTACAGACTTGGTTTTTCCAGACTCACCATGTTGAGGAGTCGCGTTAACGCTGCTTGGTGCTTGAAATTTGTTAATCCGCGACATGATGCTACCTTCTTACTTTTCTTCTATAATTTTCAACAGTGAAAAAAAAAGTAGAGATTGCGCAAGAACAAAAATATCACCATAGGTATAGAACTGTCAAAATCAATATAAATAGCCTAAAGAACTTCATAAATAACATGAGTTTCGTGTTCATCCCAAGATGTTTTAAGTAATATTATAGCCATTTCACAAGAAGACCACTATAACATATTTATAAACAATTTAATTCTTCGATTTTCCATTAGGACCTGTTTGATACAAGTCATTTTCCATGGATTTTTTTTTATTTTTTATTTTCACCTTTACCTTGTTTGAAAGCAAAATTTTTCCCTGAAATCGATTCCCCCACCCACGACGGGGCCGCTTTTTCCTTGATTAGATGGAAATTGGTTTTCATGAAAATTTGTTTTCTAGATTTTTATTATTATTTTTTTTTATTTTTGGCAATTATAAAGAATTCCATCTACAATTGTAACAAATTCTATTCCTTTAATTGACAATTTCCATGAAAAACAAAACCAAATGAATATTAAAAGGTAGAAAATTTCAACATTTTTTAGGTAAATTTTTAACAGTCAAACACATTTAATTAACAATTTCCAATAAAGACAATACAATTGCCCGAAATTCGTTTTCTTTCGACCCAAATTCCATTCTTACAATCAAACGGACCCTTAGTGTATTTTTATACAGAATCATGTAATCAAACTATCTTCAGAATGAAGATTTGTTGTTGAAGAAAACTACCAAACACCAAAATGAAATTTAGTTTATTTATAAAGGGCTATTACAAAATCAATAGGTTGGCACCTATTGTGCTCTCCTTCCACTTCTCAAGTGTTCCATTCTAATTCCCCACAGCTGCTCCCCTACCGATTTCATATCAGGACGATCGGCTCTTGTCGGAGCTGCACAGTCGATTGCCAGACCAAACATTTTCACCAGGATTTCATGCTCTACTTCTTCCTTCATTAAAGGATCCAACATCTCCATCAACTTCCCATCGTTGTATTTCCTAAAAGCCTGCAAAAAAATATTATTTACATGAGGATTTTTTTTTAAATAGAGCGTACTGAACATGCATTTAGTGGAATAACATACAACTTGCCAATGCTAATTGAAAAATGCTCACTCTTCAATGAACTTGTTAAAACATAGATGTGAATGACTATGCATTCCCTGCTAAAAAGTCCAGGTCAGAAGCAACGCAAATGTATATCATGAAAAAAATTAAAAAAAATAAAGCAGAGACTTCATAACAAATCTGTCTTAGAAAATTCTACAGCAATGTAAAACCAAGTGACTTCATGAGACGTAATTATTAGCCATATATGGAAGCATTACATCATCTGATTAATTGAAGATTTTGTCATAAAATAAGTCTTGCATAAGGACTAAAGAAAATAAGCTTGCAATTATAAGAAAGGAAAAAACTTACCCATCTTAGTGTCACTCTCTCATCAGGTGGTCTCGTCAATTCCACGGGCCGACGACCCGTTAAAATTTCCAATAGCAATATTCCAAAAGAATACACATCGCTCTTTGCTGTAAGCTGATTTGTCTTCATGTACTCTGGGTCAAGGTAACCAACTGTGCCTTTTACTTTTGTTGAAACATGTGATTTGCCAGAGTCCATCTCTCCTAGCTTTGCAAATCCAAAATCTGCTACTTTGGCTCTCATCCTCTCTGTCAAGAGAATATTGGAGGACTTCACGTCTCTGTGGATAATTTGCTTTTCTGTCATAAGAACAGCAAATGAATGGCCATTAACCCTAGAGGAACAAACACAAAGGATAAACACAGTAAATCAGGTTAAGTCGTATCAAGTTTTAACATGAACTAACTTTGAGCCAAACTTAGCATGAGTTACTAAAGCATAATTCCATATGCTTTGAAAGTTCACCATGAATCGATTGGTACTAAAAAACTGTTCCATATTGACACTTGCATACTGCAGGAGTTTAGGGTTGCTCAAAAATTTGCAGGGCTACGCTACATACTGACTTGGGCTTCTTTTGGATGCTTCCACATGATATCAAAGCTTCCCACGTTTCACTGTGTCATGGCTATTTCTCTTAGTTTTCTGCTGCTAAATATTTCTACATAATTATTTTGTTGTGAGTCTGTCTAATCCCTTAAAAGTACCAAACCCCTTCTGTCAAATCAACAAGGACCATGTATTAATCTCTAAACCAAGTTCCACAAGTGGTTAGAGAAATACTACAGCATTGTCCGACATTAATGATTCAAAAACTTCCAGGGCGTGTGAAACACACTTATTAGAACGTATAGGACCATCTTTATCCCTGCACTTTGTTTGTGATAAATTAATACATGTACTCTCATAATCTGGACCCAAGTCGATAATTTTATACCACAGGCTAGGGCAGTATTTCACTGAGATTAGCACTATTCTTTCTAATTGTGGAGCTTCTTCTCGGGTTTCTTTCTATCCCAATTTTGTTATTATTAAGCCTATATGCCCTTAGATAATGACACCTTTAACTGTGGGTTGCTAAAAGGAATAGAAGTTTAATATATAAGATTGTCTTTTTCAATCGTTAAACATAGCTGTTTCTAAGTTTGTTAAGTTTAATATATTAGAATGGTGTTTTTTGGCATTTTTTCATTATAGTATAGCATTAAATGCAGTACATTAGCAATTCACCCAAATCCTATCCCCCCTACATACTCTACAAGTACCAGGGAGCATCTCCATCTTTCATACAGCTCCAGAAGGATCATTGACCTATTCATTTTTCTCTCTCTTGTTATTGATGCACATAATAGGGAGGACCATAGCATATAGAACTGTAGTTATCTTTCAGGTCTGTCTGGGTACTAAAACAAGATGTTCAATTTGTATAGAATTAGAATTTTTTTCCATAATATTTACTAAAACAACTGAACAATGTAAAAAGGATTCTTACCTGTGTATAGATGGAGATAGGTAAGGCCATGAGCAACGTCAATGGAGATTTCAAGTCTCTGATTGAAATCTAATATTTTTCCCCTCACACCTAAAGAACACATACCAAGAACATCAGCCAAAATATTGCATTTACACAGGTTTACCTAACTGGATTACTGGAATGCCTTTGAGTTAAATGATATACCATCTAGATGCTCTCTAAGTGTACCATTTGGCACATATTCTGTTATAATAAGGCGATTATTGCCTTTATCGATATAACCAAGCAGCTTGACTAAATTCCGATGCTCAATTTTAGCCAAAAGTTCAACTTCACTCCTAAATTCAGTTCGTAGGGTTTCAAAGAGTTCCTGCAAATTGTTCCTTCCAATAAGTAAACATAATTTATGGAAATATGCACACAGGCAAACCAATATCAACTGCCAAACACTTCAAATTTTGATTAGAGTAGTGGAGAATCAAAGTTCACTTAGGACATGTCGGATATTCTATAATTATACCAAGCAACCTTCTGTTATAACTATGCTTCGAAGAGTTACTGCAAATTGTTACTTTCAATAGGTAAACATAATTAATGGAAATATGCACACAGGCAAACCAATATCAACTGCCAAAGACTTCAAATATTGATTGGAGTAGCGAAGAATCAAAGTTCACATAGGAAATATTGGATATTCTCTAATTATATCAGCAGCCTTCTGCTATAACCATGTATACCCATATATCAATGAATTTGAGTCAGAGAAGGAGGATCCTTTTGTCTCTATCTGAGCCTCCGCAATGTTGGTTCACAGCCCAAAGATTCCACACGTCAAATTTCTTAATAAATTCTCAAAGAAAGTAACAGGAGCCCTTGCTAGCATTAGATAATATGTTTGCTGAGCATAGATGAGATTGGGAGTTGTAGGGCTGAGAAAGCTACGTCAATGTTCAGTCTTGCTGTTTTTCCTTGTCAGACCTGATCTCCGTAACACTGCTTGGGATACGCTTTATTAAGCTTATGCGCATGATAGTCAAGCCACTATCTACCACAATTGCAATTAATACTCATTCAAGATTAGCAAAAAATTCTAACAATTTACAACACACGAACAAGCCACCTAGGGTAAAGTATCAGCCTCTAACAAGTATCATACATCAATACTCCCCTCCTCCCATCCACATGTTCGAACAAGAGAAGAACACGAAGCCTTGAACAGATGTCAGACACGTCTCGCATGGTTTGCTCTAATTTTAATATTTTGTTTGATTTCTGACTTGCAAGGACACTGTGTGTCCTATTTTTTGTGTATTCATAGTATATAAAACTAAAGAAAAATTTTAATTATTAAACATTTGGTTTAACAATCTGTAATAATATAAACTTCATGTCAACTTCATTATATATCTACTATACCCACTTTTTTGATAAGTGAATCTTCATATCATGTTCGCACTAATAAGTAGCACACAACATACACCTCTGAGTCCTTTTAATGCAACAAATAGCCACTCTTCCATTTCAATAAACTTCGGCAGAAAAATTTCAGATTGCAAACTGAAAAATGATAATAATTTTGTTCGAATAAAAACATAAAGTAATCATACAAAAATCAATACTTTTATATTACTTTAATCCACGTGTCCATGTCCTACTTTCATAAAATGTTATCTGTCAAAGCGTATATATCATGTTTTGAAGCCATTCATACAACCATCTTTTATTTTTTCATTTTTCCAAATTTGATGTAGAAACTGATAGTCATGGCAGGTAAGGAAAGGTTAATGTACAGATGTGATGTTATGTAAAGGATAAACATTGAGCAAGAAGATGTTTCCACCATCTTTTCAACTTTCAATGCCTAAGCCAAAAAAGATAATGATGCGAAATCATTCATTACAACGAGGATAATACATAAAAGCTGTGAAGTTAAGGTTGGTCTAGTGAAAGGATGATTACGGTACCTTCTTTGCTCGTTTTACAGCAACCACCTGGCCATCTGGTAGTTCAGCTCTGTAGACAGTTCCAAACCCACCTTCACCTACTTTCAGTGATGGGGAGAAATTATGTGTTGCTCTGGCAATTTGATTTATATCGAGATGAAACGATCCAACCCTATTTAGTTTCGGTGACATCGAAAATCTTAGAGGACTAGGTGGAACTCGGAGTGGACTGCCTGGTATCTTTTCAGAGACCGAATTCATTTGTACAGACAAGATTGAATCCACTGCAAGGATAATTTAGTCTTGTGTAAAAATATAAACGCACAAGTAACTGAATAAAGGTATCCAAAATATATTAATTCTATTGCACTCCATAACTTTTGCCAAAAGGATTGCATCAGTGGAAAGTATATCTGTATTTACATGAAAAGGTTAAATTCGATCAATTTTTTCACACGTGGGATTGAGCTTCTTTGAAGTAGTACATGCATCTGTATAAATGACTGATTAATAGTTGTACCTAAAATTCTATATATAAAAGCATAGACTACAGCCTGGAAAGTAACAGCAGGGTGTCCAAAGAATGGAAATGATTTTGCTCACTTGAATTTGTCTCCTTGTCAAGAACAGCATTTGGAGTTTCCTTTTTCCGTGAACGAAAGCATGGACAAAGAACGACGCAACATATAATAAAGAAAGCTGGCACTGCCATGTACAGCCCTTTAGAGGTCAATATAGAATTGTCCTTTCTCCCCTGTGATTTTTTATCAAAATTATTCTCTGCAGATCCTTCTCTAACTGTGTTTCTCAAAAGTTTTCTTCCAGATTCCGAAGGCACCTTGTCTGCAATATAACAGAAAGGTGCACAACTTCATAAAGAAGGTATCAGCAAAATAATATAATTTAAGCAATTTGACAATGTCCATTACATATATGCATATTTCTCCGGGAACATCATTTCCCATACATAAATGTTCAAATAAAAAACAATAATAATAATAACACGTGGTGGTGCATACCTATCGGAAAACCCAACCTGCAATTATGGTTTCTGAGATTTCTGGTACGGAAACAATCTTTTGCACTATATGTTTCTAAAGCTTTACAGAAATAATATTTTTCGACCAATTTTCCATTCAAATAATACAATTCCTGATTAGGATCACCCAAATAGCTGATGTGGTAAATTCCGCAAGCCTTGCTATTTCTCAATGACCCAGAAGCAAATACTCTTGGCGATTGCAGTAGCAATAATATACTTATGAGAACTAATACCACTCTTAGTGAAGAACTGCAAAAAGATTCCATCCTTCAAGACCAAAAGATAATCGAGGCATCCTCAATAATAAATCCCAAAAACCATGTATATTATATGAGCAAAAACTCAGAACTCCAGAAGTCAGTAATGCGATAAATCAAGGTCTTGAAGTGCTGAATTCGAACAATAATAATAACGATTCCAACTATCACTTCAAGAGTCGAAGTCTCCAGAAAGCACCCTTTAAATTGAAACCGAGTACACTATAGGCACTGCCAAATTCCACAGCAGCTTCAAATGTTTTTGGACTGTGCTGGTAATGATATCCCGATGCAAATCAGTTAAAGATAGCCATCATTGATTTTCATCACATTATAATTCCTTCAGATTTTTTAGCAGTGCCATTAATTGAATTATACAAAAGACATCGAAGTTAGGTAATTTCGAGGATAAAACTCGTAAATCCCAACACAGAAAGTGCCAAATAGAAAACCTGAAATCAGATTGAATTCTATGAATAATAATTCCAGCAAAAACCCCAAATTATTTGGAATGAAATTTCATAAGGATACTTCTTGAATTCGAAAGGCACATACTAAATTCACCAAACGTACAAAAGAACACAAATCTATATAAAAAAATCCTCAAAACTTCAGAAAGGAAAACCTAATAAGCAATCAATTTACCATCCCAAGCAAAAACCAATAATTTCTTCTCACCCACTTTACCCGACAAGAATATAATACGAAACCAGATGAGAAAACTTCTAAAACACAACAATCAAACTTTCAGACAACTTACACCAAAATTCAAATGCGTAAAAATAAAAAATAGAAAAATAAATAGAAAAAGACTTAATTCAACAGATATACCAGTCAAACTTGATTCTTGTCACAAAATCAAAACTGAGTGAAGGCGGCTGCTGGAAAGACTGGACTAGTATAAATAAAGATATGCAGTTGAACTGAACATCGATTTAGGTGGGCTCCCTCCCGCGAAAATGGTGGGCTCTGATGGACACTTGTTTTGGTGTCTTTTTGGTTGAATTCAACGCATGCCTATGTGTTCACATGGCAAAGTAGACAAGCAAACCACACCCGTCTATTAATAATTGCAGTAATTGTTGCATATAGTTTATAAATTATCCATTTCCCTTCCAGTTTTGATAAAAAGAAAAAATTATGAGATATATAGATGAAAATTATGAATTCTATCAAATATATGATTAGAATTAATTATTAATTTTTACTTAAATTAAATTTTAGATTTTAATCTTTATCAAACAAAGTCAAAATTTTCTTTAACCTTTTCTTGCAAAAATAATTGTTAAGAATAAAATGAAATATTCGAACGCACAGGGCGCCAAATAAAACAAAGTCAAAGTATTCTTTAACCTTTTCTTGCAAAAATAATTGTTCAAAATAAAATGAAATATTTGGACGGACAGGGCGGCATTTGACGCCCCCTATAGCCTTAGGGCACCCCCTATGCCCCTGGACGTCCACTTCCCGTGTGGTCCTGGACGTTATATATATATAATCTCAAGTACAAAAACATTTTATGTTTAACAATAATCATCCAAATAGTAGAATCCGACTAGAAAAACTTTCAAAGATGTAACATCTTGGATTTTCGTATACTAAAAATAAAATTGGAAGAAATAAAAGGACTTTGAAAGAATTGAATGAAACACTGAATAAAGAAAGAAGACATCAAATATGGACTTAAAAAGGTCCAATGGCTTTAAATCAAGTTCACTTGATAGTACAATTGGGCACATCTAAATGAGGGTGTGATTTCAAACACCACCTACAAAACTTAGATGAATTTTTGACCCTCAAGTCAGTCGTGTACTCAACTCAAGATACAACGAGAACTACCCCTCAAAAAGTGACAAAAAAAAGAAAAAAAGAAAAAAAATATATAGCTATGATATTGACATACTCTTTTTTCACATTTTGTTTGAAGCAAGGTGAATGGAGAATGAAATGCATAGAATAAATAGGGGTACGGTTTTTTCAGTTTGAGTTGCCTGCTACCAAACGGTTTTGAGACCTACACCTACATCTTACCTATGAAAGCGGGTCATCCCCTATATTCCGGCAAATTTAGGCTTTCTCTATGGAAAATCATACAAATGGGAATACGGGCATGCGCTGGTTGGCCAAGGAAAAACAACCGCAGTTTAGTTTTGACACATAAGTTACCCCCCTAGCATTAATTTTTATGAATAGTCTCTTTGTAATTCTTTTATAATATTAAATAAGTCGCTCTTTCAAGTTTAGTCTCCGTTTAAACCCCCACTATTACTCATTAAAATTCATCACAACAAATTATTTCTCAACTTTTCCAACAACGGTGGCCACCATGTGTCACCATTCAGAGAGTACAGCTTGCGTGTAAAACAAGAGTAATTAATTGTGCCACAAAATTACGATCCTACCCTCTCAGCCTTGTCCTCAGTTTTTGGGTCAATGAGGGTCATATCGGTAATTTAGTGTGGACAGGGGAGGGTGTTTTTGTCCTTTGGACCAAAGGTTCACTTCAAAAAATGAGATTCTTTGGTAAGTTAGAAGGAAATGATAGATGTGGACCCTACTTAGTCAAAAGAGGAGGTTGAAAGTTGGCAAAAAATTTAATGTAATGGGAAAAATGGTGGCCAAACAGATCCTAACATAATCGATGTCGCGATATCAAATATACTTTTTTTTTTATTTTTTTTATTTTTTAACCATACATTTTCCATCAAAGCACTATTCAGAATGCGTTTTTTGACAAGAATGTGACTCAAACAAGGGCTTATTCTGCACCGATTTGATTTTAATAAAAATCAAAGTTTTGATGAAATGTATGATTGAGAAATTGTGGATCAAATAAAATATGTGAATAAAATTAATTGTTAATTTTAATTTTAATTTTTATCACATTTCGGAAATTCCATAAAAGTTTGTTAATTTTTCTCCTTTTTTAATAAAATTTTGTAACTTTAAGGAAACTCTATGTAAACCTTTAAAAAAAATTTGACCAAAATATTTGAAAATTAAGGTTAGGAATTACACTCAATTATAAATTAACATAATTAGAGGCTTTGCCTCTTATAATTACAAAATATTAACAAGCAATTAGAGTTTAAGTCAATTCTTGAAAATGAAATATTATAAATAAATTAATAATATGCTATGTAACATTTTCAAATGCTTCATGATCTTTTATATTTCTCATCGTAGCACATTTAGCTAGCAATTATAATAGAATCAAGTTATCCACTATGTTTTGTCGAGATAGATAATTCGTCATTGCTGACGTCTTTTCTAGTCGTGGAATATTTTTCTTTTAAAGTGGAGAAATTTCAAAAATATGATGAAGCTGGCTGGATGATGATGGTCAGAGTCAGAGATGATGGATTTTTAAGCTTTCAAGAGAGTGGAAAATAGGCCCCACACGCAGCCTATACAGCCGCCAACGATGAAATATCAGTCAAAGATATATATATATATATATATTAAGCCCTCGTTTGTTTCACATTCTTTCCTCATTAAAATGAAAAAATGATCGTTATCCATCACATCAAGCCATCAAATTTGAATTTTTATAACTTGTGTCGAGCTCGTAACGACTATATTTTTCATTCTCATTCTTCCAAAATGAGAAACAAACGGGTCCTAATTATACGTAAATTCAATTTCTTTTTATTTTTAACTACACATTTTTTTTTAAAAAATTATTTTTTCAAAACGATGGTGTTAATAGTATATAGTACCTAAGCGTGTGCACCCCTTTCACATAAGGTGTGGGATCCATCCGAATAAAAAATATTTATTCGAGTGGACCCCACACGTTATGTGAGGGGGTATACACCCTTAGATACATCTCATTATGTATCACTCTAGCGCTCATTTGGCCCTCATTATGTGGAAATGAAAATGGGTGGAATAATGTATTTTTGGAAAATGAATGGTTGAAAAATAAGAAATTTTTTTCGATTTACGTGTAATATTATTTTATGGAAGATTATGTGGTTGGAAATAGATGAGAGAAAAATGAAATGTAATGAAATGAAAATTAATGGGGATCATACGGAGACCTAGATTAATTCATTTCAAAATACATTATTCCTCGTAATCTTATTTTAATGGAGCTCAAAAGATTTATAATTTCCAATAATATACGCACTTGTAATTCAAAAGTTTACAACTCTTTAGACAACACTGAAAAAAATTATAAAATGTCCAAACTAGTTTATGGACTTTATATTCAAGGTGGATCATTTGATTAAACTCTCTGACTCCACAGACAATTTCAAGATCAAACTAAAATAAAAAACAAAAAAATAATTCAAGTCGGGCTATAGTTAAAAAAGAAAAAAATTGCATATAAAAAAATTTATTTTATCATTACAAATGAAATTGGTTGGTCAAACGCCTTCAAATAACCTAAAAATAATAGTGAATTGTGAGATTAAACCTGAAAATATAATCATTTGAAGAGTAGCATTTGAATTATAATCTTTCCAAAAATACCCCCTCATAGAGAATTTGCAACCAAAGCCATTACAATGTATAAAAACCTTCAATTAGGTCCCCAAAGAAATATAGATCATGAATCTTTAATAAATTTAACCCCAAATATTATACAAAATTTTATTGATATAAGAAATGCAACAGATAATGAATTAAATCATTTAAAAGAAGATCTGAAGAGTTTCTTTACAGAATATTTAGATCCAAAATCAAAATATAAAAATGTTTATATAGATAATAGAGCAATCAAAATAGAAAATAATATACATAAGCTAATTCTTAAACTGGAAAGAAGAATTAACAAATTAAATATAATTATTAAAGAAAAATTTTTGACAAAAGATAGTGAATTTTATAAATTCTATTGTGATAGTTTAAATACTGATGAAAAATTTAATTGGATTCAAAATCTTAACCCTTTCGCTGCACGCTCCGACGAACTGGTTTCAGAGCCATGTTATGAATCGAAAATTATGATGAATATAGTAAATGAAGAAAATATAATTGAATTTTTTTATAAAAAAGTTGAAAAACATAAAAACCCAAGTTATCCATACTTACCTAAAAACACCACAAATGAAAGTTTTGAAGAAATACACAAAAGACTAGAACATAATCTACAAGTAGGAAATGCTCTTTTAGATAAAAACCTTAAAGGAAAAGATAGGATTATTATTAGTCCACCTCAAGATTTTAGGATAACAAAAAAAGAAAATAATAAAGGGAAAAAAACATGAAGAAAATCAATATATGATTACAGATATAGAAGAACTAGAACAAAAATTCTTAGAATCTACTGGTGAAAAGTATGATGAATATAAAAAACAGTTAGAAGAATTGACTGAAAAATTGGAAAATGCAAATATGAATACTAATCCATCAACAAGTTGAGATATAAAAATAGAATTCAGTAGTGATGAAGAATATGATTATCCTTACCATACAACGATACTTATTAAAGAAGATATTAATCAATATAGAAAAATACAGAAAAGATATACTGAAAATATAAGAAAACAAATCCAATGAAATCTTATAATGAACCAATCCACACGACAGGAATATGGTTAGATCTAGACTGTATAGATAAAAACAAAGCTATTGAAACATGAATGAAAAGTACAGACTTAACAATACAATTTAATAAATGGGAAACATATACAGTTTTTGGATTTATAGAACATACATTCAGAGGAATTGTTTCTGAATGGTGGAGAAAGTTACCAGAAACTATAAAAGGAAGAATAAAGTATGGAGAAAATAGAACTGAAGTATTAGATAATAGGAATACTTTAAATGACCAAAATATACA